GCGATATGCAACACATTCTTAGGGGTATATTCTACACAACTAACCACAGTATTTTCGAAATTTCCTTTTTTAGTGATTTTCACAGGAGGTTGAAAAGTGATATAAAAGTGTGCGTTTTTTTCGAAATTCAGAGTCCGATTTCTTTTTACGCTCAACTGCGCTCAAGCGGTTTAGGGCGGAATGTTATAGTCCAAAGTGGGTACTTTCAGGATTCAGGGTTGACAGACTGAGGAAAACTGAGGAAATTGAAATTTTTGACCTTAAAGATGGACTTTTGAGCGATTTTCATAAACACATGGGAAAAATTATGTCGATACTAACGACTGAAATTGTATTTTTCCAACAGCTCTGACCCATTTACCTAGTACCAAATTGGGTGATATTTGGTCACGCAACCTGTTTCTCTGGCCTCTACGCCCTCGAAAGAAGGATAAAAAAAATAATTTGAAAGCGGATGGGAGGGTCACTTTAAAGTCTTGCAAAAGTGTTTAATCCGTTATCTAACAATCTCTTCGTGCATTATCCTTGAGTATAGACATATTTATGCCACGTTTTACTTTGACAGACAAATTTCTTGAGTCCATCCGGCGGGGTGGGGCTTTTAAAGTGGCCCTCTGGCACCATGAAATTACCCCGAGAGGCACATTTGAAGCCTCGTAAAAGTGAGATATGTGGTTTTGTTACGAATTTCGCAGTGAAGTGCCCTCACTTTGAGATGTGGACCATGGGTTAGGAAGGAACCCATCAAAATGAATCATTTTCACAGGTGCTTTCTGCCCTTACAATGGTTCTTATTATGATAAAACTCATTTTCATCTTATAATTTAACCTTAAATCATCATATGGAGGTCCCGGCACTTTCATACTAACACTAACTTTGATTCAAAACTGTCAAAAATCTAATATCTAGAATGATTCATATTAATTTTTTTGAGAAATGTACAATTACTCCTCAATGTGAGAGATCGGCTGTTTCGTCAAAAATTTTGAAGTGACTTACGCTGTTTTTAAAAAAAACCATAAATGAGGTAATAGAAAGTCCTTATTTCGAAAAGTAGACCATAGGTAAAGGAGGAACTCGTCTAAATGCACCGCTTTAGTCAGATACTTTGAATCCTTTTAAAGGATTTTTGGACGGCTTCTTGCACCCTCTTTAAACCCTCCGCAGATTGTCATATGATGTGTTAGGTGGTTAAATTGTGCATATTATCACTTAAGAAGAAGTACTGATCGTAAAATATTTTTAAAACTCGGCGATATCTGGTGATAAATAGTTTTGGCCAGCTTTTCAGGTCCAATACCACAGTGTGCGCCGGATAAGGGAGGATTTCTTGATCCGCCCGCCGGTTTGCGGGATATCGCGGTCCGCGTGTGTCGATTTTCCCATAAGGACAACGGGTGCGAGAGAGAGTGCGAGTGAGATGGAGCAAGTTCCGCATCTCGTGTTGGAAGACAGCTGATTAATTTTACGTGGGTTCTTCTAGTACGGGCAACGGGTGCGAGAAAGATGGAACGCTTTCAGCGTCCAACGAGTGCGAGGGAGATGGAAGGAGTTCGGCCTCGCGCTTTTGGAAACGTCGTGATTTTGCGAGCTCCGACTCGTGCATCAGTGGCCGGGCTACCCTCTCAGGGCTGTGAAAATCTGTGTATTGGTCTCTTGCGAAAGTACGAGACATTAGCTACGTTTATGCGAGGCTCGAAACCGGGGTTTCATGAAACCCGAGTTTGTAATGCAAGTTTCCTCCGTCGGGTTTATGCGGGCGCTGTAACCCGACTTTCGCGGGAAATCAAACTTTCCGATTTTGGCGCTGTTTATGCGCATATTTTCGATTGAACTTGAATTTCATGTTGGCGCCATTTTCACAAGCTATACTTCATTTTT